TTCCGTGCCCAGTCTAGATCGCGGGTCTGATTTGCTTCAGCTGAGGGACAGTCTTGACGCTGTTTAGCATTCCGCGCACAACACTTCTTCCCTCAGGTGGTCCTGGCGGCCTCCAAGTTAGGTTGCTCCTTCTCCGGCTGCTGCTGATCTACCCTTCAAGGTCTGCCTCTGCAAATGCCCAAACTCTGACAAAACTACACACGAATCATAATTAGATCAACAAGGACATTACAGCCACAGGCCTCGATTTGATGTCCGCCCTTCCACACAGGAACCTCACTTAACAGCTGACTCCATGCAATGTTGCCCTGCCAAATCACCCTTGCAATGGACGCTCATGATACGCTTCGCACAAGCAAATTAATTAGAATCGGACACCTGCGAAACATCCAAGCACCAGCCAAGCACTACTACCCAATCATCAAACATCATTAAAGCTACAACCCTATGGATGCAACGCTTTCATGGCCTTAATCTTCTGATGCAATCCTCCAATCAAACCGTCCTTCCTGGGATCCCAACTCAGCCATACCTATCGAACCACAACTTGAAAGAGAAACATGCAATCAATAGATAGAATCATTTCAAACCCGATGTGCATTAGATTTTCCAGCAAAGCTTTCTGCGAAACGCTCCACACATTTATCAGAACAATTTCCATAGCTCAAGTTGTCCAAGCAAGTAACTATGACATTTGGGTTACAATAAACATACATTGAGCCGGAAACTACTCTTGGGCCAGGAAACCTTATGCTTCGCATAGCTTCAGTACACGATAGCTGCAGGAAACCTTAGGACCTAAGGAACAAAATCAAAACATTTGGGAACGAGCCATAGCGAACTTTGCCGCGCATGTCGAGCTTAGCTGCACATTGCAGTCTCAACCAACTGCTATAGCCGACTCTGCGCCAAATGTGCAGGGTAATTGGCCTCACCACAAGGCATCGTCTGCAGACAAGGTCACACGCTCCCAGTCATCACTGGAAGCATGCTCTTCATGCTCCATGGGCTTAGGAGCTGCCTTGCATTCAGCATCTGGCAGTGGCAGGGCGTTCATTCGCGCCACAATCTTGTCCTGGAGAGGTTTGAGCCGCTCAGCAAAGAACTGTGCATCATCGATGGCTTTGCAAATGACCGAGCGCAAACTATTCAAGATTCTGATGCACTCCTGATCATCTTCCTCTTCCAGGAATGTTTCCATACGGTTCACCAACCGCTCATGCTGCTTCAGTGCACCTTCCATTGAAGCAAACATGCCATGGTCTTCCATGCCCTGTGCTCCCAAAAGTTCAGGGAAGTTTTGCATGTGGTCCCTCAACGAGCCAATCTGCTGAAGGTCTAGGCCACCAAATGTTTTCCTCAACTCCTGGCACCGTGCTTTCAATTCGCGAAGTTGAATCCTGGCATCTGTTGTTGCTTGAGCAGCTTCTTTCAATTTCTCCTTGGCCCCCTTCAGCTTCACCTCTACAGTGGTGAGCTCACCCTTTACAACACCTGCCTCTTGAGCGGCCATTTGTGTCAGCGATTGTTGATCTCCAAGGGCTTGTTTGGCAGCTTTGGCAATACTTCTGAAGCGCTCTGCCCTCCACGCTGCTACATCGACCTTGCTGTCAGTCCACTCCATAAACCACCTGCCTAGCCTGCCCCAGCGCGTGCTCTCCATGGTTTCTGCTGCGTCCACTTCCTTTTGGGCAGCGATCTCATCTGCCTTTTTGGCGCGCTCTTGCAGGGTAGTCAACGAGCCCGTTTCATTTGCTGCAATGCTGTCATAGACAAGGAACTTGCAATGGAGCTCCTCCCTTTTGCCGCTAAGCTCTGCTACCTGATTTGCTACCTTCTTCTCTTCTTCCAGAGCTGCAGAGAGGTCCTTGCTTCGCGTGTCCAAGTCACGCAGCAGTGCCTTACACTGCTCTCCGCCACCAAAGTTTCCCAACAGCTCCATCACAGCATGCTGCATCTTGTGCTCCTGTCCTTTCCATATCACCATTTGATTGGCAAAGCTCTTGCACTCGTCAATCTTCTCTTGCGCTGCCTTGCGATATTCTGTCAACATCATCAAATTCTTGATTGTTGCACGGAAATTCTTTTTCATGCCTTTCACAGACAAATTTCCTTGCCCCGTCTCCCACATCACTTGAAGTTCCATCAAAGTATTCTTCTCCAGCTGGTAGAAGGTACCTACCACCTGCCCTACAGCGCATCCAACATCGAACATCCATTTCCTTTGTGCTGTGACCATTTGCATGGCCTCAATTGAAGAATCGCCTTCTGGTGGCAGGTACTGGGCAATGTCTCGCAAGGCCTTGTAGAAAGCTTCGGTCCTTGCTGCAAAGACTTTAATTGTGCAGAATCCCAAAGCGTACTGTTGATGCTCAACGATGGCATTTGGAGCCTCGGGCTGCGTCTGCAACTCGAGACGACTTGGATGTTCGTCTGAACATTCTGAACTTTGTTGGCAGGGATTGGCACTCTTCCCAAACCGTGGCTCTCCAACAGCCATCGCTCAAGGCTTTCTTCCTATCTGTCTCCTGCACAAGCGTCGAGCCAAATGGCTAAGCAGGACTTCAACACTCCCATCGGAGAGTCTTGGCAAGCAATCAACAGGAGTCGCGCAAAGTGATTGACGGACACCCAATTTTTAGAGTTTCAAGGCAAACACGATCCACATGGACAAGTGTCATGTCCACCAGCAATTCTCCAGTGAAACTCATACAGCTACTAGCTGCTACTGTGGCATACTGTGGCAGTCCCGTATGCTCCTTAGCCATTCCTTTGCCACTCTAAAGCACCCAGGAACTTGTGCCAGAATTTCATCTGCCAAATCTGCCAAGCAATGTACCAAGTGCCGCAAACACCACGCAGCACAAAGCTCTTCGACATGCTATTTTCAAAGAGCGAGATCTTGCTGCCAAACGCACCCGATGCTCAAGTGCAGCCTTGTCAAGATCAAGGATTGCCAAATCATATGTTGCGTGAACGATTGGCCCAACGAGATGCTGAAGATCTGAGTTTTCATATTCCACAAGACGGGCTCTGGTGCGAAGCAATGTGATGATGTAACCATGAGTGCAGCTGATTTCCCATTGAGCTTGCAATGTCTCCACAAGTTGTCCACCGTCCATAAACATCAGGCTGTCCTGAGATGTTGTAACAAAGATAGAGCCTAACGGTCTAAAAAGTTAAGTGTACAGTGTACTGTCTGACCAAAATAGAAGAGACACAAACTAGGTTCGGTACGGCAAACAGTGTTTCGCTGAACGCGGCCAAGGATTGTTGACTCTTCAAATGAGATAGGTCGGCCAGGTGCAACTCGACCAAGGCCAAGAGCCTTATTTCCAGTCAAAAGATTTCAAAAGCAAATTACATTTTCAGGGCACGTTTGATGGAGCCTCCTACCAATTCATCACTCAAAGAAGCTCATCTTTATGATGGCTATGGCAATGGAGGATGGAGGGAGACGATACCATGTGTGCCGTCGAGCTTTTTTTCAAGCCTTACCAAACAACGTCCGCCAACTCAGCTAAAGAACTGCTTCCGCAGTCTTTCCATGTCTCCGTGGAGGCAGGCACCTGCAGCAACGAATTGATTGTATCCCGTCCGAGGTCTTGAAATGATATCTGGTATCCCAACATGGCCTCCAACAAGCCAGTTCCATGATATATAATGAACATGCATGGAAACTGCCTAGATGCCTTCCAACAATTTGCCCATGCATTTCTGGAAGATGATGCAGCGGGAATCATAAGCCATGGCAAATGCATTGGATGAAAACATCAAGGGCTTGTCACTTTGGACAACTAGGCTGCACACTTTGGACAACCTAATGTCTGGCGAGTGAAGAAGTGCAGAACTTTGGTTGCACTGCATGCATGAGGGGCTGCAGTGTGTCAAACAACGCTCAGGCTCCTCAGCAACCTCAAAGACTTTGCCACCGGCACCTGAGCAAATGGACATTTGCCACCAAGCAAATTGCTCTCGAATCTCAACAAGTTGGGCCGAGGTCAACTTGCTTAACACGATTCAGGTGTAGCCGAGCCGATAAAACAAGAACTCCGGACTCTAGCTGAGGTGTCCGCTCATTCTACTGCTGCACCATCTATAGTCTATTTTCCAAACGGCGGACCTCAAAGCACGAGAGGTGCAAATGGCGCATATGATGCACATTGTGCGGCATTTGTGCCTCCCGTTCTTTGAGGCCGCTATTGGAAAGAACTCCCGACTTCACCGCTTGAGCAAAATACAAAAACAGCAGCGACAAAGCCAGATCTTATGGCCTCAGAGAGTCCATTGTTGTATTCCATATACGTCGCCGGCTAACAGGACTGCCAATACTGCCACAAGTTGTCACACCTCAAAGCAACCTTCCTGTGGTTCCTGATTGATCCACCTTGTCGATCTGGACATCTAGGGAAAACAACAGACTGCTTAGGTCGAAGTGCGCTTCTCGCTTTCGCTTGTTGCCAGTTGCTGTTTTGCAAACCTGCAACATATAATATCCGCACCATGAACATGGGCAAAGCCTCTTGGGACAAACTTGGCTTGGGTAGGCCATACAAGTACATAATCCTGTTGATGACTGGTTTCTTTTGCAACGAATTGCTAGTGCAACGTGCAAAGTTCAAAACTTCCCACGCTAAGAAAACACTGGCAATATTTCCGTACAGAACCTATAGATGCGTATTCATATATGTTATGTCAATATACATCTAATTAGTGCATGCAAGCGGGTCTGTCTGAGGCCACTATTAAAATAAGCCCCTGAAGCAAAATGCACGGCAGGTTGCAAAAAATAGGTGAAATTTCCACATTGCCATTTATGTGCGGTGGTCGCGACCACCTCTTTGGTACGGCTGAGATTGTGTTGGTTTCACCATGATGCGTTTGTGTAGCTTGCTCAAAAAGCATGAGTTTTGGAGTGCCAAGAAGATGAGTTCGATGAGTTGATTTCTTTCAGTTTCCTCTTGACCTTTTGCCGCCATTTTGCTTTCGGCGTTTTCAAAGCCTGGACCTCCGTATGGGCGTACTTTCTTTCTCTAGGTGTGTATGAACTTGAGAGTGGCCAGGGACGATAGCGAGAGCAAACGGTCGGACGTAAGGGGAACATCATGAAAGGGGAATCAAGAGTTCTTTGTATTGATCAGGGGTAATGCATAGAAATCAGCATCCCCTATTACAGTATGGATTTGGATTTGTCCTATTAAACAGGCCCGCATGCCAAAGTGAAGTTCCACCCCGGAAGAACCCAATGGGTGCTTTATCTTGTAATCTCATAAATGGGCCAACCGAATAGCTAGTTGATCGGCAATCATACTGCTGAACAAATTGTATTCGAATCGCTGCCGTTAACATGGGCAAGGTCTTTAGACAGAGAATCAATGATACTAATACAATGTTACAATTTTTCAGTTTATCATGCAGGAACCCTGAAAGTAAGAATGAAATGAAACTGGAGAGGATGAAGCGGTTCCGAAGGCAACGTATTCAATCATGCAACCAAACATGACATAACTCCTTACACTTTCTATACTTGTTTTCCTGCCTCTTGTCTCCCTTGGCTTCGTCCGCTTCCTGAAGCAATCCCCAGGAATAAAGAACCAGGAAGAAATCAAACAACTTATACTGAAACATAAACATTTGCGTGAGGCTTTAAGGAGTGATTGCGCTCACTCAACGTGTACAGCTATTTTTCTTGCTTCACTGTTCCTGTCTCCTCGAGCTTCTTTTATATCTCTATCTCTTACATGTTCATTCTTCACAAACTGTCTTCATTCATAAATTTAAGAGTGAGACAAAGTACAATTGTCGTGTTTGTTATTGCCTTGTTACTGTTTCCTTCACATTCACTCCCTTTACACAACTTGACTTACCCAGCCTTCTTATGGCACATCTGTTGAGTTGATAGCAAAGCTATTTTGTTTTATTGTTCCCCTCTCTTTACCCAAAGTTTAGTGCCTATGTTGCAGCTAGTTTGTTGCAGCTGATCTTGTCTTGGTTATAATCGTGATGGCAAAACTGCTTGCGTAATGGACTCCAAGTGGCGAACATACAGGTAAGGTTGGGCTGAGGAGGTTCGCTGCATTTCCTGCGAATGTTCTTCTTCCTTCCCTGACTGTCTCCTGGTTTTGTGTGCACACGGGAAGATAAGACAACTGATTACACGAAAATAGCGCATTGAGTGTGTAGACGCAAGTGTATCCGCACGCGAGGCTTGGAATCTAACTCAATTACCATCCTACGGTGATGTCTCTATTATAAGCTTAAACGAAGACCAAATAGATCGGATCAATGAAGGTAATTGTTTCGTTTCTGAGGGGCCCTATCTCGTTTGCAAGCTAATGCTGAGGCTGAATAAACAATTCTCGACAAGCGCTATAAAATGCTAAACGTGGCTTACGAGGGTCATGTCATTTCTTCGTTTGAAAGACACAATCAGAAGGCTTTCCAGTTTTGGGCTACTAAAGCTGCTTTCGGTGTTCTGCTCAATACAGCAGGGTGAAGGCAGAATATATAATCAGCTGTAGCGCGGCCAGCAGGTGGCTCCGAATGTCATGTCCCGGCATCGATGAACGCTGCGCTCTCCTTATCCAAAAGTGGTCCAACATGATCCAACATTGCAAGTGTGCAAGAGGAACAGTGGAGCAGAAAACGTGGGAAGTGCGGAAACCAAGCTCCGATTGAGACAAGGTGACAAGGTGTGATTTCAGCATTCTACATTTCAACTGGATGTGAAAAGTAAGGAACCCCGCAACCCCTACAAACACACCAAGTTATAGAAGTCCAACTCAAAAAAACACAGAGTCTAACTAACGTGAGCTCGTCGGGATATATGTATGACTCTATGACATAAAATGGGATGAAGCACTGAGACATACATAGATCAACACATATCAATTGTAAATTAATATACATCAATGATGATCAATGATTATAGATATTTGCCTTTTTGCGCAGGTTGACATAATAAATATCAACCTTAGTTCATCTGTCATTTGCATGGATGTCATCAAATTTCAACCCCTGCAAATTTGTGGGGCATATGCCAAGCGCATTCGGCGCATTGAAGGGCGAGGCCTCAGGCATGCATATCAACTTGTCAATGGCACCTTGGAATTGAATCTTGAATCATAAGTTAAAAGACTCGTGGTTTCAATGTTTCGTGCAACAACTTTCCTTGGATTGCGATGCCGTGACCATAAGTCAGCGGCAGCATGAGGTCCAGCAAATGGATCACCACCTCAAGGTTATCTACAGTTGCGTTGACTGCTTGAGGAATACACAGAAAGCAAGGCGTATCCTTAAAGCAACAGATTAAACCGTTTCTCCACGACGTTATTCTGAGATTAAAGCTAAAGATAGGCCCAGCTCCAACCCCCTGGAAAGCAGCACCCAAATGGTCACTGGGAGCTGCCGTTCTTGTGCACAACCTGCACAACAATTTGCATATCCTTCGGAATTCAAGCACTCTAATTCCATGAATTCCGTGGCTTTGAACACTCTAAA